ACTGAGGTAAGAATAAAAGGATTCCAAAAACATTACTTTCCTGTCTCCATGCAGTTCTCACTTCTGACAGCAAAATTGCTCACTCATCTCTGAAGTCTTTTGTTTGCACAGTGGCAGAGTACCCCGTTACTTTTTTCCCGGAGGTGCCACATCTGAATGTTGAGTGCGATTTCACTTCCAAGAAAAAAATGAAAACCAGTGGACTAAACTGCTATTCTGATGACCTGAGTCGAGTCAAGTCAAGTGCTGGTATCTGATAGTTAGAGTTCAACTGTGAGCTAATGGGCAGATTAGAGTTAGCAGGGATTGCATTTGTCTATGAATGTGACTTTTACATGTGTGCAGCAGTAGTCTGCTCATACTCTTTGTCACTGACAGATTACTCACTGTCTAATGTGGATTCATTTCCTTCCACTTGATGGTTATGGCAGACAATGTCAGACACTTAGGTTTGACTTTGAAATGTAGTGGTTATTTTGCTATGCTCACAGCACTGTATTCAAGTTACAGAAATGATCATATTTAGGAGGACAAATGTATGATACTGCTTAACCTAACATTTTTTATTTTTTTTATTTTGTGGGGTCCTGGCCTCTTTTTGTGCCCATTAAGTTCAACCTCTAATTTATATGTCAAGAACAGAAATGGTACTTAGGAAGTGATATGAAACAGGAACTGGAAAATGTTATTTCTACTTAGGTAAGGCAGAGTGCTTCTTGTAAAACACAGACCTTTTTATGATTTGTCTTAAATAGATCAAGGCTATATTATACAGCACCATGCATTTAGAAAAAGGCAGCTATAGGCAGTCTCTGAATTGCCAATTTGTTCAAACATTTTTAACCATGGGCTAATTAGCAATTCAGTTTTCTTAGATTCTGTCACTTTTTTTAACTTTACTTCATTTTGAACACCTTGATGAGCTCATTTTTAAATGAACTAAAGAGCCAATTTTATCTATCTGACCCGTCCAGTCAGCCAAAGACAGATTTAGGGAGTGGTTATGTGAGCTGCTAGGATTGTTTTCTCTGTTGTAGTGTTATGGTCAGGTCCTGAGAGAATTGGTTTCCTTCCCTCCTTATGCACACACGTGCTCTTCCTTCCTGCGAGTCCAGCTTAAGTCCCACAAGGACCCAGTGAATGCTCTGCTTCCCTGGGTACAAACACATCCAGACATGGAGGCAAAGCAGCAGATGCTGGTGGAAAATTGAAAGCGAACACAATCTAATTGGAAAGAACGTAACTTAGAAGAAATGCGAATAAAGCCCTACATCTCTACCGAACTGGCAGAGATGTAGGACTTCATTGCTTGTCTAAAATGAAGAGGAAAACATGGAAATAAACAGTCCACAGTTTGGAGAGAGCTACAGTAGTTGCTCCAGGCTAGTCAGCTGATTGTCTGTAACCCCTATGGCTTGTAATCAGCCACCTTTATTAACCCCAGTCAGCTGTTACTGTGTTTGTATCTCAGACTGAATCAGCTGCCTGCATGTTAAAACATTACCCTTTGTATAAGCCGAGTTTAGATAGCTGTCTGAAGCCCCCTGTGTCCCAAGGACAGAGGGCATTTCATGTGTACACACACACCGTGACCAAAGGCCAGTATGAGCAGCTACTACAGCTGCTGTATTCAGAACTATGCTGATTCCAGACCTGCCTTAAATATCTATAATTCATTACCACTTATCAGGTACCTGCGGGAAGATGAAAGTTTTATGAAGTTTCCAGCCACCTGCTTGTTGTATCCAATGCTTGGTGGTGGACTGAGCCTGCTGCCAAGTAGTGTTTGTTGTAATGTGAGTCAACACTTCCCCCCTGTGGTGAAAGTGTGACATAGGCTGGAATATGGTGAATTATAGGCCAACAAGAGAAATGGCAATCAGGAGGGGAAAATGGCCAAAAAAGTTTCAGTTTCTTGATATCCGACTATTCGATACCTTCAAGCTTCTCAGTGTTTTCTTATTTATGAGTAAATCTCACACCCTATATGGTTTATTTCAGCCTGTACTTGTACAAACTGGGCATTGCACCACAGATCCAGGACCTGCTCGGAAAAGTGGCCTTTACAGGTAATACCAGCTTCTTCTGAAAGTAAAGCACAAAAGCACAAAAGTTATATATAAAACTGTGTATATGCACCTGTTTAAATAGGAGATGAAACATGCAAGTTCTTATTAATTGCTTGTAAAATGAAGGGTAAATCTTGCCTCTGGGCTAATTGAAATACTGATGTGCACTCACCTAGTTGTGCATGTGTTAATTTATAACAAATTCTCTGTGTGTGGGAGGTAATTTTATTTACTGGTGGTGTTGGAATTTAATTGAAAAACGTGCTCTCAAGCATATAAAGTTTTATGAGGATTCTCTAATTTAGATGTTTAAATGATCCATCATTTCGGTTCAGCAAAATATACCCTGCAGCCATTCAAATAATAGGACATGCAAAGCCAACCTTCACAGTTTTTGACATTGGATTTACATTGGAAGACTCGGGGCCTACTCACATCACGTCTGAACAGTTTTAACAATATTAAATTGTGGGAAAAATATCAGTGTTGCCTGAGTTTATTATATATTATAGTTTTTCTCAACTGCTTAAAGTTTCCCTGTGGAGTTTTAGACCTCTAGTAATGCCATGGAGCTGTATTCCTGTAAGAGAAGCACAAGAAAGTGTAGTGTACGTGCACATGCCTACAAATGGTGTCAAACTATTCTGGGACAGTAATATTGTGTTTCTTTATGAAATTCTTATTGAGACTTGCATACAGAAACTGTAAAAGGAAATTAAATAGTATCCAGTATATTGTAGCATTTCCCCTGCAATCTGTATATATCTGTCTTCCAGAGGAAGAGATCAGTAACATGAGGAGTGAGCTGGAGAAGTATGGCATTCAAATGCCAGCTTTCAGTAAGATTGGAGGAATCCTGGCCAATGAGCTTTCAGTGGATGAGGCTGCTTGTAAGTCCTTCGACCTTTTAACTAATTCTTTATTGATGTTTTGCCAGAAACTCCTAATGATTTTAGCTAATGCTAAAATGTTCGCACACACTCTGTTGTCCTCAGTGCATGCTGCTGTGATTGCCATCAATGAGGCGGTTGACAGAGGCCAGACATCTGTGACAATGGGTGCTTTGAATAATCCTAACGCAATGCTGAGGAACACCCAAGAAGTTCTTGCCCAAGACTACCAGGACACACTGAGCCAGGCCAAGGCTCGTAAGCAGAAACAGTCCTCAGGGAGGGTGAGAAGCCTCTGTGTGATTTTGTGAAGTTTGTTTATTTTCTTTCTTTATTTCTTGCTCTCTTGCTCGCCTCACCAATCTCTATCCCTCTCTATTTCACTCATTCTGGATCAGTCTGATATTACATGCATACATATACTTTAAATAACATTAACATTAAATTAAATCAGAATTTAAAAAAGCCTTTCTGCTAAAGCTACTATATGCAGTGTCACATCTGTGTTGAACTCAAGTAGGGGGCAGGGTTTCAAAGTCTTGTGTGTGAGTTTGTGTTGAAATGAAATTTGAGTGATGCCAAAAATGTTGCTCTGATCCGACGTATCTGACTGAAGTGTCTAGTACTGACACAACTATAATAACTGAAGAGATATCCACACTAAGGTCTGAAAGGGGTGGCCTGCACTGACTCACTCCACAGGCCTTGCCAGCACATTCCAGTGACTGCAGTGTCAGCTTTACTTCACCAAACACAAACCGTCCACACCATCCGGCATCTCGCCTCCCATTATCTTTACTAATACTGTACAAAGTACAAACAGGAGACTGTCCATTTCAACCTAGTGGCTGAAATGTGATATGTAAAATATGCAAATTGAATGAATGGGGGGAAAAAATAATGTGACCAGGTACAAATTAAATATTCTATAATGAAATTAAATGATAATATTATTTTATTTTCCTCTGTCTCCCTAAATTAGCGCTCCTCGGTTGCTACTGAAGAAAGAGATGTTTATGAGGAGCTTCTAACTCAGCAGGAGATCCAGGGCTGCCTTGACTTCGTCAACAGTAAGGGTTTTCCCTGTCAAGTACCATGAATGTATTCCTTTTGAATGGAAAAAAAAATGTCATACAGTGTTGGTGCATATGAACACAGGACATATGTGAACTTTGAAGAAACATGGAGAGAATGTGCAGTTCAATTTTTTTTTAATTCCATCAAATTCAGTACTTATCCAAAATACATTTCTTGTCTCCAGTCCAGGCAGCGGTAAGACAGGTGAATCAGGCGGTGTCGAACCAGGACCAGGCTGCTCTGTTGGCTGCACTTAGACTTGAAGCTTTGGCCCTGCTTGGTGTTCAAGAGTCAAATGGTCGGTGGTACCTGGAACATTTTACCACCTACTGCCAGCATAAATCCAAGGTATACAGAGTTTGAATGTAATTTATTTGTAGTTGTTGAGAGTATTCAATGAATAAGCCTGTATTAGATGGCTAGAATGGGATAAGGGAAGTACTTTGGCCATAGTTGGAAATGGCCAGAAAAAGCATACACATTCATAGGGAAACACATGCAGTGTTGTTTTTGACACTCTTTCTAAACTGGACATTTTTCATTTTTTTGTTTGACCAAACAGGTCCACTTCCATTTGAGCACACAGCAGTTCATTGGCTTAACATATGTAGTGTAGACACAGATGAAGATCTGTAGCTGTTGCTGTCGTGCTGCTTCACTAGTCAGGCAAAAAAGACATTGTGTTATTTAAAAAAAAAAAAAGCCTAAACTCACCTTCAAAGAATAAAAAATGTATCAGCCACTGTAATTTTAGCTGGAATGGACACTGGCAGGCTCTGTGCCCTCCAAGCCCTGCATTAAAACATGCAAAAAATCATGGGATCTTAGTGGTATCTCTCTAATGTACTCTAATCTTTGTGTTGCAGGATGGAGGGAAGGCTGCGATGGTGGACAAAGAGGAGGTTCAGAGAGTTGTCAGCTCTTGTAATGACTTTTCTGAGGCAGAGAAACGAAGTAAGCACCATTTGTTACTTACCATAGATGTTTATTAACAGTAATTACTAGTCAGTTGAAAATCACAAATGTACCCACTAGCAAGCTTCTAGTACACAGTAACAAGTACACATGTAAGGTCTGTGCACTATTACAGTTGTGGATACATCTTTAATATGGATTTTCAGCATGTAATTGTAAGGCAAGGAAGATATGCAATTTCATAACTGACATGCCTTTGTGAAATTATATTTGGGTTATCTGTGAGACGTAACAATTTGTGATCATTTTCTTTACCAGAACTCGAAGCAGTTACAGCAATCAATACAGCCATTCGTCTTGGCAATGCAGTGGAGACGGTGGAGGAGCTGATGAACCCTGAGGCACAACTGCCAATTGTCTACCAAACTGCTGCCAACCTCTATCAGGCTGAGCTTTTCAGTTTGCAACTCCAAGGGGGCCGGGTGAGACATCACGTTTGCAATTTTGACTGTTTAACATGTGGACCTGCATGCCGCTAGTGATATGCTTACCAGTATAGAAGTCAGTTCTAGACATTTACTGTAGTTAAATATCCCTTCATGCTCGTGATTCAGACTGTTGATGTTTATTAGTCTGGTTTGAGCCACGAGGAGCTGAGTGTAGCTGTGGAGATGCTGTCAGCTGTAGCAGTGCTGAACGAGGTGCTGGACACAAAGGACCCTCAGGCTGTGATTGAGCAACTGACAGACTCTCCTCTGGGCTTCACCAACATGGACCAAGACAACCTCAACAGGTAAGCTGGCTACAGGACAGATAGCTGTGGCAGCAAATGGTGGCATTGGCAGTACATAAAACAAGTGCTACAAACACCAGTCGATAAGCCAAATGTATACTATTAGGCAGCAGCTTGGTGGCAGTAGGCTTCTCTTTTGGCAAGAGACTGAACCATAACCTCTCCAGTGGACTGTTGCTAAGTTCAGACTCCTGATCGCCCTGCTGTCTCGTCTGTTGATGCTAGTGGTAATCCTGTTCCCTTCTATGATTACTATTTTGTTGTTGCAGTAACTGTGGTATTCATAGAAGTTAAATTATGGTGCTAGAATATGGTTTTAAGAGCAACAAATTACTTTGATTGCAGAGTGCATAAACACAGAACAGAGACAGATACATTAAGTGAGAAGATATTACAAGAACGATGTCTTTAGGATGTCACTGCACTCCACTGTAGTCCTCTCCTCATTGTTATTTTGCACTAGGATGAGCTGATGAGTAGTGGTTCATTCACTGTAGTGTCATGAAACATTGTTGAACCTCTTCATGGCACTCTCCCTCAGGTATGCTGACACTCTTATCAAACAGCGAATGGAGACGCTTGCCCAGGGCCAAGAGTTTCTCACCTGGAATGATGTTCAAAAATGCATCGACACAGTCAACGTTCAGGTCCATGAGGAGCATGAGCGTAAGAAAGTCTTTCAGATTTTTGGTTATGTTTTATGTGGTGTAGCTTGTGGACATGTTTAATATTAGGTGTGATCCAACAATGAGGATTTTTGAAAACACACAATAAATTAAATTATTCTTGTCTTCTAACTCCAGGCATCATAGCTATAGCTGAGATCAATGAGGCACTTAACTCAGGTGACCATCAGCAGACGCTTTCAGCCCTGCTCCTCCCTACAGCCAAGTTGACAGGGGTGAACCCAGCCACAGCCAAACACTACCATGATGTCCTACAACATACCAAGCAACTCCTCTGTCAGGTATTGTGACTGTAAATTGAGTTAAATCTGAATTGCTTAATGTTGAACTTTTTAAACTGGAAAGAGTAATTGTTCATGTGTTGTTTGTATTTAATTCTGCATTGCATAATAGGCTTGTTTAGGTTTCACAATCTAAATGTTCCTTTCCTGAAAATTGACTTCATAGAGCTTGGTGTTGTTTTGGACCTAACAGAGATTGCAATATTACCCACTTAAATTCACAGTGTCCAGTTTTAATTTTTGTGGGCTTGTGCTTCCCTGCTGGTTCCCAACAACCCTGTGCTAATTCTGAACAATGGTCCAGCAAGGAGGTTGTTTTCCAGTCTCACATCATAACAGCCGGTCTCTGTGGTATCCCGTGGAGGGAAATAAATTGTAGTTCTGAGGCTGCCGTCTTGGAAATGAGCATACACAGGAAGGGATCCAGACAACTGTGGAAGCAGCAGAGACACACTGCTACTCTGTAGTATCCATACAGTCTGTCGTCCCCATTAGAAAACAGACGGATGTAGTGGGCGATGTGCAGGATGCTGCTGGGCAAGAAACACACCACAAAGATGATGAAAACAAGAGTGCTGACCCTGATAAATGGTCTCCAGTCACACCGAGATTGCCCTAGGTGGTATACCATTGCCACATGGGCATAAACACAAATCAGGAAGGGCACTATGAAGCCCAGACAAACCAGCATCAGCCTGTATGGCACTAGCGGGGAATGGGATTTGTCTTCTAGGGGAAGTACATCATGGCAAGTGGTGACTCCCAGGTGGGCAACCTGGTAGCTCTGCCTGACCAGGAGTTCAGGCACAATAGCAGCCCCGAGCAGGAACCACACAACCAAGCACGTCCCCACTGCCAGTTTAGTCTTTGCAAGCCTTCTGTACAAAAACGGTTTGACCACAGCCAGGTAGCGCTTCAGACTGATGCATGCTATGGTTTGAGCTGAACAGTAAACATTGCCATAAAACAATGCTGTGATGAGCCTGCAGGAGATTTCCCCAAATATCCAGTCATTTCCGTTGAAGTGGTAGTGAATACGCAGTGCCAGGGAGAGCAGGAGCAGCAAGTAGGACAAGGCCAGGTTCAGATAAAGAACTACTGTAGAGAATGACTTTGCTCTGAGTCTCAGGAAGGCCAGAATGTAGGCGTTGGCAGGGATACCCACCAGCATGGCCAGGATGTATGATGAAGGTATGACCCAGGTGCTGAGGACCCCTGTGGTATACGCTGTCACTGACTCCTCTGAGCTCGCATACAGCCAAGGCTTTGTGCTGGGATAGAGCAGGGTCGGCCCTCGGATAGTGTGATTATGTTTAGATCTGCTCCCCTTGAAGGTTTTTGGTATCACTCCAAGTGAACTGTTGGTTTTGGTCCTGGTTCTGTTTCCTATAAATGAGTAGAAAAACTATATTTAAGGCTTTAAAGCAACTTCAGTTTTATAATAAAAAACAAATTAAAACATTAAACATTTGAATTAAATAAAATAAAAAAATGTGTTGATCATGCTGTCTGTTGTTGTGTACTGTTCAGTTCTATGTAGTCATAACTGACCTTTTGTAAAATAACATATTATTACATAGGTGTATAGCAATATTTCTTATAATAATTTAGGGATTTTGTATTGTAAACCTGTGTTTTGTAAAAATGAACCCTGTTGATGCGTATCAAAATGACATAATAAAATAATAAACTTACCATCATGCTGAATGGTCTGCACTGCCATCAAACAAATGAGTAGTCCTGGCACAAGGTCGGCCATATCTCTTCCCAGTTTCAATATCCAACAATTTTTGAAGGTTTTTTTGTCTTCAACTCTCTCAGTGCTGCTTCTTTTCAGTAAATGTCCTCCACCGGTGAAATTTGCTCTTTTGCATCTCTGCAGTGTAACAGTAGATAACTGTGTGTACTCAAGCTCAGCTTCCCGCTAGTGGATGTGGATATGCTTGTCTGTTTGTATGGTGCGCTGAGCATGTTTCCTGTTCAGGCTTGAAAACTGAATTCCCTTCTGCCTGCGTCAGTAACTGCCCACTGACTCACTGGGGTGGGAGGACACTGCTTAGTGATTTTACGAAAAGCTGTGATCCATAAACAAATTGTTTACGGTTACAATAAGTCTTTTTATTGTGGTTTAGGTTAATATGAAGATTTTTTTGGGGGAAAAAATAGCTTTTGCATTTATTTGAGTTTAATGGTAGTTTTGGTCAGCCTAGTTATAGAATTGAGGAATCCCTACTGTAACAGATGTTTTGGAATATTGTAAGCTTCTGCATCTGAATGAAAAAAATATGATGTTATACTGCAAGTACATTGTCTATCTGGTTTGTACCATAAAGTTTACACTGAAATGATGTTATACACACAAAAAAACCTAACTATCTTTATGAACAATTGGGGATTTTCATCGCATTACTGTGATTGTCAGGAAGGCTGACCCTGCTGTGCTCTCTCAGTACATGGTGAGCTGGCTGGGAAATCATTGGTCAGATGCAAAGATAAACAAAGAAGCTGCTTTTAGTCTGCACAGTGCGTTTTAATGGTGACTTTCTTCCTGTTAGCTCTAAGGTTAGGGGTATACACCAGTCCCCACCACAGTTCTCTAAAATTAGCCTGTGAATAACTACAGAAGTCAGGCTGGATAAACATTCTTTGTGGTTGTTATGATGTTATATTGTCAGGGGATGTTGGCAGTTAGGATATGTGTGTAGTTTAACTATTGTCAACAATTTCTCTGACATGTTTTCCTTTTATTTAGATCTTACTTCTGGACACAGGGGAAATGGTACTGTCTATTATTTGCTGTTACACTAACAGCACCAGCTTGTGTAGTATTAGTAATCAGTGGTGCTACAGTATTAATTGCTACTGCTGTAGAGCAAAATACGGCATATTCAAAAATCTCCACAATCCTAACTTGATGAATTTGTATAATGTACATTAACTTAAATAATTTCTTACTTTGGACATTAACCTTTTGACTAAAATTGCTTCAAACTATTTATAATTTGTAAACAAGTTAGTATTGTGTGAACTGTGTGTGTGTGTGTGTACCTGAGGTGTAGTTTGGTCTCTTCCTTCTGAAAAAAGAGAAGTGACCTTGTGCTTTTACCTGATTGTAGAGCTCTGGAGATGAGTCTGCAGTACTGTGGCTGGACCAAATCCAAGAGGCCATACACACAGCCAACCAGGAAGAACAGGAGGCTCTCACATGTATGTACCCAGAGTTTAAATTCACTCATCCATATGTTGATTACTTAAACAAACAATAGTTAATTCAGGTCCAGTTAATTCTTCTCATACGATGGGAACATCGGGTACTAGATCCTGATTGTGCAGAGGATGTGCATTAGATAACCACATAACTCCCACATAGCAGGCTCATTACTGTTCTAACTTCATACTTATAGTTTGTTTCAGCTGTCACTATGATCCTCCTACTTACTGATGTAGTAGTAAAGTAATCTTTATTGCAAGGTTGGTAGTGTGGTAACACAAAATTAATTTGTTTAATTGTTATAAATTATGGATACTCTAGCACCAGTATGACCAGTTTCTCTTATTACTGAAACAGATATGTAGGATTTATTTTCTCTTCTGCAGATATAGTGTCTCAGAACTGTTCTGCCATCTGGCAGCTCAGCCTATTGCTCATTTATGGATGTTTGACATTGAATTGACAACATAATTGTTTCATACCACCTTGCTTGTTGTGGATAATCCCTTACTCCCTTGCTAGTTTTTACATTACAGTTACTTTGCTGTTTTCTTTTTTGACTCAACTGCTTTTTTGGTTCAATATTGTTTACTTTGCCAGTGGCTGGAGCAGTAGCTGATATTAACAGAATGGTGGCTGAGGGGGACTCTCAGAATACACTGCAGGCTTTGCAAGTTCCCAGTGCTGGACTGAGAGCGGTGCTTCCTGAATGTGCTGACACATACCAGGCTGAACTGGTGCAGAGACAAACAAACAGTGCTACTGAAGGTAACTAGACCACTACACAATCATCACAAGTAAGGAAGGTCAGTGTTGATGCCTAAACAGGAAGGCGTCACCAGTTTTTTTTAGATGTGGTGTCCAATGTGACATTCACTGTGTCTCAAGGTGCACTTTCTGCTTTCTACCAGGCAGCCCTGATACTGTGTGGGTAAAACATTGCATCAAGGACAGATATGACTACTATTATAACCTGGAGACAGGACAGGGCATCTGGGAAGAGCCTGAAGGATTTGAACACAATGGTGGCCAGCTCAGTAAAGAGGAAATCCAGGTACCCCCTGCTGTACTGCATAGTTTCATTACTCCATTATGTAATGCTGTGTTTACATAGTTACACCCTACAACATAGTTACAACATAGTTGTTTGGTTTAACAATGAATTCAGTGATATTCGTTTTGAAATCACACTATTCATTTGATCAGATAATAACTATGACATGGTTTTCTTTTCCCATAGAGTGTTGTCAGCTGTGTGACTGCAGAATATAACAGGGAACAGTTATGGTTGGCCAATGAATCTTTGGTGACCCAGCTGCAGGCGAGGATCAGAGGATACCTGGTCAGGAAAAAGCATGCCCAGAGGATGGATTATCTCCACCAACAAGAACCACACGTCATCAAATTGCAGGTAGTGTATTTCTCCACTATGAGACATTCAAGTACAACTACAATGATCCCTGATATGGTTGTGGACTATTGCAGCAATAATAAATCAAGAGATATCCAGACAAAAAGATAAAAAAATAATGATAATATTCACACAACTTGTGGCATGCAGATGTATTTTTGATCATATTTTTGTTGTCTTCAGGCTTGCTGGAAAGGTTACAAACAGAGGAAAATGTACAAAGACAGAATGAATTTGCTTCAGAAAAATGTTGCTTCTGTTGTCAAGGTGAGAAATTGTTTAACTTTTATAAAAGAATTATAAAAATGTATACTTTTTGAGTGACTAGACAGCTGTAAATCTATGTACACCTTTCTTGTACTGTAAACAAAAGCTTAATCACCAGTCTTTTGAAATCCTCAGCCACAAACTAAAATCATACATAAACAATTAAACACTTGTGTTTTTAGATCCAGTCTGTGGTGAAAATGTGGAAAGCCAAACGTAAATACAATCAGAGGTTGCAGTTCTTCAAAGATCACGTGAGTAACGCAATCAATCAACATAACTGAGTGGAATCCTTTGCATTAGTTTTATTCTATGTTGTTTAAGACTCACTTTTATCTGTGTTTTTAGGAAAAAGAAATTGTGAAAATCCAGGCTTTTCTAAAGGCCAACAAAGCAAGAGATGACTACAGAACCCTAAGTGAGTCAAAAAGGTCATTTTACACTCCTGCAGTTAGAGTTGAGCTACAGCGTATTGATATAATATCAATATTGTTGATTAAGATTGATTAAGATTTTAAAGGCTGCATTATAGTTAGGCATTACTCATTTTTCATAGTGTTTTGTATGTTGACATTAAGGTATTTGGCCAAGAATATTGTGGTATGTGTTTCTGTCTGTATAACCCAGTCCACAATAGAAATGTAATGAATGATGGAGAAATCCTAAAAAATATCATTACATGTGCCAAATTTTAGCTGGAGCCAAAGATCCTCCTCTCTCAGTGGTGCGTAAGTTTGTGCACTTGTTGGAGCAGAGCGCCCTGGACCTTCAGGAAGAGCAGGAAGTAACACGGCTTAGGGAGGAAGTGGTCACCAATATTCGCTCCAATCAGCAGATGGAGAAAGACTTGAACCTGATGGACATAAAGATTGGACTGCTGGTGAAGAACAGGATCACTCTGCAGGTAAGCACCCCTTGCTTCTATGTGTACAAGAAAGGGAAAGGCATATTGTGATTGCATGTTTACATCATTCATAGCGTTTTTTAGGCAAAGGTTCCTAACACTGGACTCTGATTAAATTCCAGTGGTTATAGCTTGTTCAGTTTGGCTGCTCATTTCATTGGTTGTTTGTTTCTTTGAAAAGGATGTGGTGTCCCATAATAAGAAAATGAAGAACATGAAAAATAAAGCGAGTAAAGATGACTTGACTGCAGGAGACAGACTGGGTATTAAGGGCCTAAATAAAGGCAAAAGAAGGAAACTGGAGGCCTACCAACATCTCTTCTACCTGCTCCAGGTGATTAAAAAAAAAACTCTACCTCATCTAACCCTGACTTAAACTACAACTTACATCTACAAGTTTAAAAGTTTAATAAGATATCCAAGTGCAGTTGCAGACACACACTTGATGCTTTATGCTACTCGTTCTCTCTTCCCTCTCCTTTAGACCAATCCAGCCTACCTGGCCAAACTGATCTTCCAGATGCCCCAAAACAAGTCCACTAAGTTTATGGACACTGTGATCTTCACCTTGTACAACTACGCCTCTAACCAGAGAGAGGAATACCTGCTGCTTAAACTCTTCAAGACAGCTCTGGAGGAGGAAATTAAGTGAGAACTGCAGCCTTAATCAATACTGTGCCACTATACCAGTTATATACTTATTTACACTTTTGTCTCGCTGTATTGGTTATAAGGTAGTACATAAGTTACTGTGAGGTGCTTATAATAGTGTTGAATTCCCAAAATGCATGTACACCAAATTGTGTGTTTTGTTTGGCAAGCAGTACTGATCAACTGTACCATCTTGTCTGTATGTCTCAGTTCTAAGGTGGATCAGATCCAGGACATAGTGACGGGGAACCCAACAGTCATCAAGATGGTGGTGAGCTTCAACAGAGGTGCACGCGGCCACAACACACTCAGGCAGCTGCTGGCTCCAGTGATAAAAGACATAATTGAGGACAAAAATTTAGGCATCAACACCAACCCAGTGGATGTGTACAAAGCCTGGGTCAACCAGCTGGAGACGGCTACTGGAGAGGCCAGGTAGGGGAAAATATACCGCATGAAGAATAAATGTTTATTAGTATGGTCCATTGTTCGTTATATATGGTACATATAGTGCCCTGTTGTGAGTTA